TCGCGGCCCAGGTCAGGCCCGCCGGCCGGCAAGGGGGGTCTTCCGGGCGCTGTAGGGAGCAAGGCGCAGGGGCTCGCCCCGTGGCCTCCACGTTGGGGGGACGTGCGTGACGTGAGGACCCCCACCTCTGTGCTCTGGTGGGGGGCCTGGGCAGGGCGGGTCGCGTCTGTGGGCAGTGAGGCCAGAGGAGCAAAGTGCAGGGGCTCAGCTGGGCGGGACCGGGGCGCGCTCGGCAGCCCCCGAGCGGCTCTGGAGAGGGCTGCCCACCTCCAGACCGGGGCGCGCTGTCCTCGCAGGACTCTCGGTCTGCCCCCGGCGCCTCTGCTGGGCGCAGAGGGACGTGCCCCCCCCGGCAGCGCTGGGGTGTCAGGCCTCCGGTGACTGATGTGCCCCCTTCCAGGAGGTGGGGCCGGAGCCCGACCCCAGGGGCCCTGAAGTCGTCACCATGGGGGAGAACGACCCGCCGGCCTCCGAGGCCCCCTTCTCCTTCAGGTCACTCTTCGGCCTCGACGACCTGAAAATAAGCTCCATTGCGCCAGGTAGGTGGGCAGGCGGGCCGCGGGCCCCGAGACTGGCCAGAGTCTCACCCCACGCCGCACACGGCTCCCGGGGTTGCGGGGATCCTGGCGGGGCACCGCCCTGGGCCGCCCTTCGCGAGGAGACGGCATTTGCGTCTGCTGGGAGGCGGCGGTTAAAACCGGCCCTGCCCACCCCAAGCGGACGTCAGAACCGGCCGAGACTCCTCTGCGAGCACCCCCTGCCCCCCAGAAGTCCCGAGAACCAGTGCTCAGGGGGGCCAGAGCAGCTGGACGTTCCCGAGCGCCTCAGGGCCCAGGCTGGAGCCTGACGGGGGGCACGGAGCTGCCCCCCGCGCCAAGGGGCTGTGCGACTGGGTCGCAGGCGCCTCAGGGAGTCTGCCCGGCCCGATCCTTCGGCCAGCCGCGAGGCTTGTCCCGGGGCCGGGGCTGGCCCCTGAGGACCCAGGAAGGCTGGCCCCTGAGGGCCGCGTGGGGACGCGCGGGGTGGG